CCCTCCTCTTGCATTCATTCTCATCTCCAGGTCCTTCCCGAGATGCAGAGCAGGAAGAAGGGCGTCGTTGTGAACGTGGGATCATTCGAAGGGAACATTAACGCTCCTTTCTATGCAGTTTACGGCGCCTCCAAGGTGATGAGCTTCACTGACTCTTCTGCATTCTTGCTGTATGACAAGGAGCCTGCCAGGCGTTCGTCGAGTCCTTCAGCAAGTCCATGAACGTGGAGCTGAGAGGGACTGGAGTGTGTGTGCAGAATCACGTCCCTCACTATGTGGCCACGAAGATGGCGATCCCCAACGAGAAGAGAAGTAGGAAGGAGCCTCTCTGCATGCAGCGTGCCTGACGGTCTTCTGCAGGGAAGGGAAGCTTCATGACGCCATGGCCGAACCAGTAAATCAATGCCACCCTCGTCGATGCCTGATCGTTTGACGTGTATATGCTAGGTGGGCCAAGGCCTCGCTCGCTTGCGTCGGATATGAATCTTACTGCACTCCCTACTGGCCCCATGCCCTCCAGGTGCTTCATCCTGACCTTTGTCTTATGTCTTCGCTACTTCCTATCTCCTCCTCCTCCTCCTAATACTACCATCACCACCACCACCACCTTGTGCATTTCTTTTGCCTCTTTCTCCTCCACGTCCTCAGTCGCTATTTCTTCCAGCCCTGCCGCGTTTCTAATGCCCTTCTCTCACTCAGGCTGCCATTGCACTCTCGTTGCCTACATGGCTTGTAGACAACATGCGCTACAAACAGAGCAAGCTCGTGAGATCTATCGCTCTTCGGAAGAAGCAGCAGTGAAGCAAGATAGTTGTTGGATGAGGTTTTTCAAATCTTCTCCATCCAGCTTATGTACATGAATGGGAACATTCTTGCAAGCCACACCTCTGATCATTTTTCAACTTCAAAACGACACACAGGGCAAGTCCGATTTTCCTTGAACCATCCTTTGATGCAATCAGGGTGAAAGAAGTGCTTGCACGGGAGCGTCAAGATCTTGGCAGCAATCGTCAAATCGACAACACCTCCCTACCGTCCTCACCTTGTCGGTTGTCTCGTATTCACATTGGCAGATATGGCACTTGTCTTTCCGCGCTTTGGCTCTGTGTATCAACTGCACCGGAAAGCTCCTCATCTTCCTGCCAACCACTCTCACTCGCTCTTCCTCTCCCTCGACCGGAAGCGACCTGTCCGACACGCCCCTCTTGACTACATCTTCGTCGAGCATCTGCAGAGCTTGATACTCGTCAAAGTCTTCCGCCGCCCTGCTGTTGCTGTTTCTACTGCCCGCATGCCCCACTGCAATCCTGTCAGCCTCCGTCGTCCTCAAGGCTGAGAACTTACTCGAGATCGACCTCGTGACGGAGTTAGCAAAACTAGTCAAACTGGGAAGTAGCAGTTAGCGAGGGCGCGGCTGAAGTCCTAGAGCAGCGTGTACATGTCAGGAAACCCGTTGAACTCGAGGGGCGGAGCCGGCGCATGGGAGACGTTCCTGCGATCTCTCGGAACATCGTTGAGGGGGAGCGAATGGCGGGAGAAGCTCTCAGACAAGGAAGGGTGCATGCTCGCACGAGCTTCATCGAAAGACATCTCTGCGAACCTGTGCGATCACCTTCAGCAAGCTACCAGATGCCTCCTGACGTAAACACCTGCTCATAGACAGGTATTCTCCCCCCATGCTCGAAGAACTGCTTCCCTCCCTCGGTTGATTTCTTCGCTGCGCACTCCGATGCATCTACCTGTCAAGTTGGGCGTGAGCATGAAGCAGCAGGAAGCTCATTCTTCGAATTCTTGCGTTCTTGCACTCACCGTCCCTGCTTTCATCAAAGGATCGTTACCCCGAATTCCCTGAACTATTTGGCTAACCTTCCTATCCTCTCCCCCTATCTCCCCCTCCTCCTCTCCCTTAACCTTACCGCCCCCCCCCCCTCTACCTCTCCCAATCTTCATCGCTGCCAGTCTCCTCCTGCTCCCTCTCCTCCTCTCCCTCCCCTCCTCCATGTCGCTTCCATAGCGAGGGCTTCTCGAACAAACTCCTGTTATCATCACCCTCATTCACAATCTCATCCCCCTCGTTCACCAATGGCCTCGGGATGGCTACAAGGATGGATACTGGTGGCGGCGGTGATGGCGGCGATGAGAGGGGGAGAGCTCGTAGCGGGAGGGAGCGACATCCGGGGAGGAAGCGAGGGCAGGGCAGGAGCACCAGCCTTCGTCTCCCAGCTGACTCGACAAGGGGTCTGCCATGAACATGAGCAGCCAGTGCGCTGAGAACCTTGCACAGGGAGGCGCGGGGTGCATGCACATGAGAGCTGAGAGCTCCAGGTATGCTCGTGCTCTCTTGCGATCCATGGCGTTGATTGAGGTGGGGGCAGCAAGCCCTTGAAGCGAGTGGTGGGAGCTGTCGTCCTACGAGGCGACGAGGTGTTCATGGCGAAACGGCAATCGAGCAAGGTTCGTCTCTTCCGAACCTCCAGCACATGCAGAGGCGTTCTTACCTCATTGTGAAGGACTATGGAGGGATGTGGGAGTTTCCTGGGGGGAAGGTGGAGGAGGGCGAAGATGACCAGACAGCCCTGAAACGAGAAATGCAGGAGGTAACTCTTCTTGGGGGAGTGAGGGAGGATAACGAGCATGATACAGGAGTTCAGCGTCGACTTGCGGGTAGGAGATTTTCTTGCTAGCGGGGATGATGGTCGGATCGAGCTGTTCTGCTATCTGGTGCTTGAAGAGGGGGAGGGCAGCTCCTGCTGTGGTAACCTCGTGAGCAGGCAGAAATGTTGGGAGACCCTGTCCTGTCGGAGCATGAGGAATGTCGCTGGGTGGGGTTGGCGGACTTGCAAGACCTGGAGGTGTGTCCTAGTTGGACAGGAGGAGCTGCTGATCACGTGCTTTCAAGGTGCCGCCAGCAGACAAGCCTGCCATCTCCAGACTTCAGAAGATGCAGAGGAGATAGGGGGGAGCTTGTGTTGCTGTGAAACAACAAGAAACAGACAGAATAAGAACGAGCTGATGCTTACCGGCAGACATCGCAGCAGTTGCAGTGACGATCTTACTCCTGCTGAAGTCATATCCAGCTGTCTTCCTTGCTGTCAGCGGTGTCGAGAGCTATACGCGCCCCCACTGCCCTTCCTGAGTCGCAGGGTACCTAACTCCTTGTCGCGGAATGGTCGCTGTTCTGTCAAACCTCGTGTCATGTATTCCGCATACAGAGATGACTTGAATCACTTGGATCAGCTGGGAGAGGAACGCCGGCATAGTTCACTTTCCGCCCGTATTTGTCCCTGCGGAGGCTGTCAGTTTGCTATGTATACACCGCCGTCTCCATGTCACGTGAAGCCGCCCGTCACGTTCATGTCTTCGAAGTAGAGCCCCCTTCTACGGACCATCTTCCAGAACACCGTCGTCTTCTCTCCACTCGGTGCTCTGCACAGCAAATCCCCATGAGTAGCCTCAGCCTTGAAACAACTCGCTCACATGTCCGTGGTCAGCGGCGCATCTGCGAGCTCCTTTTGAAATTTCTCATCCCTCCTCCTACCATGGAGAGGAGTCACGGAGTATGAGCACAGTGCCACACACTGCAATCAATCACTTGTAGTCCCAGTCGCTAATCTGCCCTCTTTCGTTCAAAATGGGGCCCTGCCTCTAGGATCCAGTTACCACGGGGTCGACAGTGATGCGGCAAGGGAAGAACATACCTCACCCTCGCTTTCTGAAGATGAAGACATATTGCTGACGACTTTGTGAGCTCTTTTGCCGGCATTGGATTCCTGATCATCACTATCAAACGTCAGGTTGCACCTTGTTCTGCATACAGACCAGTCCAGTTGCAGCTTGTTGCCGTTGAAGGGCAACTTTAGCTGCTTCTTGGATCACTGCTCGCTTCTTGACAGAACTGGCACTGCTTGCACCATCTACACCTCTATCCGGAAGCCTTGTGACACCGGGGTTGAAGTCTCCCAAGAACTCCAGGGCTCGACTCTCCAGTTCGTATCCCCGATCAGCCGATTCTGGGGACGATGAAATATACGGCATCGAGTCGCATGCTGGTTGCGCAGCATCTCCGGGGACACAAATCGCATTTGACCTGTCTTCCTCGTCGTGTGTTCGGTTTTGCGGTTGCTGTATGACCTTGTGAGACTCCGGAGGCAGGAAACTATGAAGCCCAGTCCCTGTGAGGTTGTAACTCGATTCCAAAGCGGCTTCTTTTGCTGTATCATTCTCCGAGGTGTTTGCGTCTTCTTGTACATGATCAACGACTGATGCATTTTGATCCATGTTCAAGCTATTCCTACTGAATAAGTTCTCCCTGCACTGCTCTTTCCGCGTGGTTGGAAATTTTCGTAAAAGTTTTCTTCTACGCTCCAAAAGAGTTTTGAGCGCAGGATTTTCGTCTTGACAGCTTGCATTTTCACGCTTCGAAGCACTGAGAATGCCTTCTGATAGTGGAAGATCATGTTCTTGTGTGATAGAGAGTGGGAGACAAAGAAAGTACATCATGGCAAGAACGGAGGAGTAGAAGGGGAGCTTTCGTGTAGACAAGACCATCGCTGTAGAGTGTAGACGTATCCTATGCTCGACCCGTTTCTTATGACTACTGACGATGCCGAAAGTGTCTTGCTCTTTCCCCTCCCTTTCTTCCTCTCCCTTCTATCCCTTCTATCCCTTCTATCCCTTCTCTCTCTCCTCTCTCCCAGCCTCCTCCCTCGAGTTTGAACGTAGGCGACTGATCCTGCATGCCCAATAGATCGTTATGTTACCACGTCTGATGGTAGACCAGAGCCAGAGCCGGGCCCGGCCTGCCAGTGCCGCTGAGCACGGTGCCGACCCGGCTCGGCCGGGCCCGGGGGCGGTATGAGTCTTTCACTGACCGGGTCAGTTTACTCCCGTCGGGCACATGAAGACACAATCAACTGTGAAGCTTCATCAACTTCCGAGCCAGGGGGAGTCAGTGCCAATGTACTAGGAGCACATGGCATGGCATGATTTTATTAGAAGGCCAATTAGAAAATCATGCGGCTAGCAGGTGAAGGGTGAAGATGAGAGCCGTGCTAGTTACCACAGTGACGGTTCTGATGTGCCCCGAGGGGCAGGGGTAAGGAACTACTGACTGGTACTGATATTTAACGTAACTTTGAGTAAAGAAGGACTGACTAAGGGCCGTTTCCCGCCGGCTCCCAGATTCCAGATTTTTGACTTTATTCAAAATGATTTGAAATTTACCCCGAAATATTCACCGGTGCTTTCAATACATACTGACAGGGGGTGGGGTCCACTGCCTGTTCATATTTCATGCTCCCAGCGTACCCTGCCTACCTTCTAACAATTTTTCTCGATTGAGCTAATAGTATATTTCCATATAGTGCCTGCCCATTCGAAAAGCAAAATCTGGGAAAGTCAACCGCATCGTTTCATTCTCAAATTAAAATGACTTATAGTTGAGTTCTCCAAAACATTTGGAGGAGAAAAAAAGAAATTGACTTATATTTGTATGAAAAAATCTGGAATCTGGAATCTGGGAGCCGGCGGGAAACGGGCCTAATATCAGTGACGGTGTCAGGGGCCCGGTAAGTACCACCCAGGGTGAATTTATCTTTTGAACGGATGAGGCGGGGAAGGGGAAGCGGCTGCTTTAGGTGGGGGTGGGTGGTGCAGTATCCGATGATCATGGGGCTCCAGGACTATTGGTCTGAGTGTAATTTTCGTAACTTTTAATGGGTGGGGTACTTCAACAGTGGGGTGGTCGGGTTGTCGTGGTTGAAAAATGGGGGTTGGGGGTGGTCGTTGAGTTTTTGTCGCGAGTACCTTTCCGGGCGATGTCAGATCAAGAGGCTGAGAAATAGGGGTGGAGATAAACAAGGTGGGGTGGTGGTGAAACAAGGCCTGATATTTGTGAAGTAGGTGCAAATTCATTTAGAAGCAGACAAGTAAAATCAGGGTAAGGGTCCTGGTGCACGTCTGGAGGGCTAGAAAGATGGGTACCAGTCCCTCGTCGTAGGGTTGTGTTTCGAAGGGAGGGTAGGGTCCGGAAGAATATCTGGGGGACCTGGGGTAGTGATCACCAGGGTAGAATTCGATGCCTTTCGGGGGTGGGTACTCAGCGGGATAGGGTGTGGTGGGGGTCATGTGTTGGGGTATTTTGCTTTGGTAGGGTAGGTGACTCTCCGGGACTAAATTCGCATGGTGGCTTGTCGTGAGGAAAGGGCTTAAGCTGAGCGTAGTGCTATGGCGGGAGGGACGAGGATGAGAGCGATGCATGGGACGATGAGAATGGTTGTAAGACAGCATATGATCACATCGAATAGCTCAGCAATGCTTTCTTGCCAAACCATACCTCAGTAGAATGCGTCACCGGCTTCGAAACCGATGCTCCTTACAGAAGACTTTGATGCAGCAACAGCGTAATCAGTTCGAAGACTGTTTCCCATATAATTTGCTGTGAGGAATATTTCCTGTAGATATTCTGAGACGAGCGATTTGAAGCTCATTTACTTAGATGAGTTGTTGTGTCCTTGTACATTTATGCATGCAATTTCTGATAATGCTTTTTCGCAGCTTCTGAAATGTACTAATAATTTCAACACCTCATATTCGTTTATTGCAATGTCCACGAGCTGGAAAACTGTGAGCAAAGGCTTTGCAATGCCATAACGACTGAAAGTTTCGGCAGAAGGGGATTCAGATCTTATTGATCGCACACCTTGTGGGCTACGGTACCCTTCCAAAGCGATGTGCTTCTGCTGATTTGAAATCTTCACACCAGCAACATCTTCCTTATCAGAACAAGAATTTTCTGCCCTCGTCAGCAAGTCAGTAACACCACGAAGCTACTACAGAGCTGACTATTGCACCAGGCTTCATAGGACGATCCCAGGTTTGACTGCGCAGCAGTACAAGCTTCTGTTCGATAAAGTTACGTAAGTGCTCTTGCTGACTGCCTTTGACCCTATGTGAAATCCTTTTATCCTATGTGAAAATGGAGCAGTTACACGGAATGGAGATCTCCGAATAGCATTAACGGGCCATCGCCAGAGTTGAATGTTACCTTCAATGTTGTGATCTACCAAGTACTTGTTTAATCCATTCTCACCTCTGAAATTTGCTGATGTTTGCTGGTACAGATCCCTCCCTTCGTGATGATCAACAACTTCGATGGTCCGGACCCTGGTAATGCCATGCAAACCAGGACGGACAAGGCGGGTCTTTCAGGATTGACGTATGGGTTCGTGGGTAAAGTACAAGTCGATAATGATTGACTGACAGGATCGACATCCTCAAGAAGATTAAAGACACGATGGGGATTAACATCAACTACTACTACCCTTGCGAGTGAGTCATCCTGCTGTAGAGCAGCCCTTTGCCTGACAACGTCTGTTTGCAGTATGTTGAACTACAACAAAACAAGCAAGGTCGCATCCCCTTGCTGACTCTGCTGCCTAGCAATCTCATGCCATGTTGCAGTGTGCTGAATACGACAAGGCAACTGCTGCAAAGCAAATGATAAGCACAGGCACTGCTGGTCCTTTCTATGGTATGATTGATTGCCAGCCTGTAAGACCGCAATGTGAAATCCAACTTTTACAGGACCAAAGTCATTATGCAACTCAGTGAATGATTGCTTTGGAGCTGGGGCGTTCAAGTTATCTTCAGACTTGTAAGGTCTTGGGCGTGCAACCTCAGGAGTGATTGTGCTTCAGGACGAGCAACTTCTTCGTGACGCAGCCGTACATGGAGAAAGGGTTCTTGTTGTTCACTATGTCTCAGCCTCAAGCCTCCGGGCCCTTCTCCTGGGCAGCTTCCTTCGACTACATAGTTTGGATCCTCATCGGTGCTGAGATCGTCCTGGTATCTGCTCACCTCCCCTCCCCCTTCCTCTGACTCCCCCCTCCTTTGACTCCCTCCCCTGACTTCCTCCTTCCCCCTGACCTCTTCTCCTTCCCCCTGACCTCTTCTCCTTCCCTGACCTCCTCCTCCCCTGACCTCTCCTGCTGACTAACTCCTCCCCTGACCTCTCCTGCTGACTTCCTCCTCCCCCCTGACCTCTCCTACTGACTTCCTCCTCCTCCCCTGGAACTCTCCTGCTGACTAACTCCTCCCCTGACCTCTCCTACTGACTTCCTCCTCCTCCCCTGACCTCTCCTGCTGACTAACTCCTCCCCAGACCTCTCTACTGACTTCCTCCTCCTCCCCTGGACTGACCCACCGGCAGGCGGGCATTGTTCTGATCGTGATTGAGGGATACACCAACAACGAGACGCTGACTCGCAACCCTTTCATGCTCGTTCTCGACACCTTCTACTGGTCCTTCACGCTGGTCCTGGGGGTTCAGGATCACCAGCCAGTCACCAACGCAGGAAGAACCCTTGTTCTCGCGCAGCTCTTCTTTGCCCTGCTCCTGAAATCGATCTTCACTGGTAACCTCAACAGCATCTTGCTCCAGACGCCGACAACAACGAGCATCAAATCCATCGATGAGTTCATCAAGAGCACCAACCCTTCCATCTCCTTGTGCTTGCCCACCTTGCAGAACTCTACATCTACCTTCATCCAACAGTCTGAGAGCATTTACGGTTCCACGATCACGAAGCACTACGAGAAGGACGTGTCTTCCTGCCTCATGAATGTGTACCAGGGCAAGTCGACCGCGACATTCTACGATGATTCTGTCATCAGCTACAAGGTCAACAACGAGTTCTGGCAGATGGGAATGTGCGGGAACAGCGGGGGTTATTGCTCTCAGCCTGGCTTGACCCAGGACACTTGTAAGTGTGACAGTTCGGCCACCAGCTGTAACATCACCTTCACGAGCGTGCAAGGTTCCCTGGTGTCAGTGGGCGACATCTTCGGCAGCTTCGGATACACCTTCATCTTCCCTTTGTCCTCCACTCAGATGCATCAGCTGCAGTTCAGTCAGGTGATCCAGTACTTGAAGGAGACAGGAGACATCTCTGCCATCGAGTCCAACTGGATCGCTGGCTCCTTCAACTGTGCTGGCAGCACGGGCAACTCGACTGCCCTGGGGCTGTACAACATGCTGGGCCTGATCATCTTCGTCAGTGTGTGGGCATTTGTTGGCCTCGGCGTCGGGATCTTCGAGAGCATGATCAAGTTCTTCATCTCGCTCTGCAAGGGAACCAAAAGGAGGAGAGCCTCTCGCTTCGCTCCCACCTCCGATGACGAGGCAGTCGTGAACATCAAGGACGGGGGAGGGGCTGCTGATGCGACAGCCAACGGGGACAGGGATGAGACCCCCGGGACCCCAACAAGAGCGAAGGTCCCTCCAGCTGCGCCTGACCTGTCACCCTGCTGATACCCCAGCAGGAAGTAGAGCTGCCTCCCGACCTGTCTGGGCTGCCGACGAAGGAGACGCTGATGGAGCTGGAGGTAGGAGAGGTTCTGTGTGCGGGGCTGTGACTGACGTATCGCCGCCAGGCGAGGCTTGACAGGATCGAGGAAAGACTGGAGGACCTCCTGTCTCCTCACGAGGACAAGGGCGCAGTCGGGGAGGCGCATCACAAGGGGTTGAACGGGAACGGGACGAGCTCGGGGGTAAGTCGTGGAGCCTGCGACTAGTGCGACTGGCTGACGGGGGAGCAGGAGCAGCAGGACTTCGACTTGCTGGGATCATGGAAGAATTAGGGGGAGGGTGCTGGCAGTCGGGGAAAGGGGGGGGAGGGGATGGGGATAGGAAGGGTAGCGAGAGACACGTCGTGAAGTGTAGAAAGAATATTTTGAACTGGTCAAATGTACTGGTCCACCCGAGCATCTCGAGATCCGAGCGATGCTCCGTTGGATTTCTGAGAGTGCGTGACCTTCTTGTAGTAGTTCCAGTTGACTGTGGGAGCGTCGCGGGTACCAGCCGAGGAGACTGACGAGTTTTCCATGGAGATGAACCACTGAGCGCGGTTGCTGGGCTCTGCAAGGAAGATGAGAGAAAGT